GCACAATTTGCTATTCTCTAGATTTTTAAAGTTTCCTTCATTATTCTTTTGTATGACAGTGTCTAGAGGAGTTTACAGGACACAGTTAACTCCAATGTGGTTGACATTAAAATTTTGTAAAATGAGGTTTTACAAAGCCTAAGAACAACAGAAACATTGCATTTTTTTAAGTACCAATAGAAATCGTTGTTTTAGCAATGAGTATTACCCTGCAGTATTTGCAATTCAAACATAGGAGCAACTTCAAATCTGAAAGCAAAACGGATTACAATGATTTTCATGTTCCAATGCTAAAAGTAAACAAAGCACATTAGAGAGTGGAAAATATTTTGGACTTTAGATTTTGGTTTTTTTTTTTTCAGTTTAAAACACATCCAAGGTGTTAATAGTAGCACTGATAAAGAAACTGATTTCTTGCCAAATCCAACAACACAACATGCAGGGTCGGCGTTAGTTTCTGTCTTGGGCTCCAGCGAGTCTAAGGAGTGGGCCCCAACTCCGCTCAAGCCGAAGCTCGAGCCATGCTGCCCAGGGCTGAAGCCTGAGCCACCTGCTGTTGCCACTCACCCCTCCCCACCCCCTAAAGAGGCACACCCCACAGTTTCAAAACCTCTGCTTCAGTCTGATTTTTTTCCACTTTAAGAGATTAAATTACTGTAATACTCGCATTACATTTACCCATAGTAACTCTGTAGAGATGATGTAACTTAGCTTCATGAGGCCCCCTGTAGTGTGGGGCCCCGAGCAGTTACCCTGCTTCCTACCCCCTAATGCCGGCCATGCCAATGTGTCAATGATAATCTTTCCTTTAACTTCAATAGGCATTGGATCAAGCTCTGTGATTTTTAACCTGACAGTGCACTTTTAGATTCTATTCTTTCCCCCTGTATTTGCGCTGATCATTTCCCCTCACCCAGCACCTTGAAACCAAAACAGGCTTGTTTGAATTAATATGATTAATTGGTTGGATGTAAATATCAGCCAGCTTTTGCAGAAATAATTAGTAAGGCTTAAGTAACCCCTGTAAGGTGGCACTTAACTATTATTATACCCATATAGCTCTATTCTGATTCAGGATCATCCAGCTTTAGTAAAAGTTGAGCAGATTCCAGTGCTTAAGCTGGCAGAGCTACAATAGAATTAATGTTTGGGCTCAGAGTAAATTGTTCAAAAACATGACTAATACAAGTGATCCAAGAAAGATTTAAGTGCTGTCTATAGAATCAGACTCAACCACAACTAGAAAAGATTTTAACACAGTATTTTCACTCCATGTAACCTTTGCTTAAATCAGTAGTGTGGCAAAATGATCATGGCTTCTATGACACACGGAGTTAGCTTTTTCTTTCAGTTTAATTATGTTAACACAGAAAGCATCAAGTATAGTTGTAGTTTGTTCCTGGGACAAGAAAATCAAGGGTAAAATGGAAAGGTAACGAGGGGAACTCTGGCAAACCTATTTGATTTCCACCTTGAGATCCTTCTCTGTGGCTCCGAAGATTTGGTATTCTGCTCTTTGTCATGCAAACACCACAGCACTGTGATGTTTATTTGAGTAAAAGACAGTAAGCATAGCATGCAGACTTATAATGATATAAAAGCACATTTGGAGATCATAGTTGCCAGGAGATATCAAAGCAAGCACACAGAAGCATCAGTGACACAGAGTCTCAGTAACCCCACAGCAGAATTTGCACTTTAAACACCTCAGAATTCCACACGTCCTGTGTACAGTATACGTGTAGCATAGCAGCAATGGTATATGGAACATTACAAATGGTCAAACAGGGATTTCTCTTCTTCTGAGATGTGACCCCTTACTCTCAATGTCAAAATATGAGCAATAGGAAACTCCATCTGCCTGTGTCACTACGCTTCACTTTTATTTGGCTTTAAACCTTCATGTATCTATGATGCAATTAATACAAAAGAACCTTTTCAAATATTGCACAAAACTCAAACTGCAATTCATTTCTCCTCTTTGGGGGCAGAGGGGAAGGTGTATTCAGATTAAACTTCCCTAGATTCCATATCTCACAACTGTAATATAATAATGAAGGATAGTTTCTGAGCAGATGTAATAAAAAATATAATGGAACATGGGTACTATAGCTTTTGAAAGCTTTTGTCTCAGAGTGGTTTCCTTACCCTAGCACTCTATTGGTGCTATACAAATAATAGCATTGTGGCATAAACTGATCATCATTTAAGTCGGGAAGAAATGTCTCCACATCAGTTATTGCATCACTGAATAAATTATGGCTTCAGTTCAGGAACTCACTTAAGCACATGCTTAAGCCCATCCCAGTTCAGGACAGCACATAAGCATGTGCTCCATGGACTCAGCATGTGCTTAACTCCCACTGAAATCACTTTATATTAATCACATATTTCTGTACTGTCCTGAACAGGAATGTCAGCTTGAATGAGATCCTATGAAGACTTCTCTTCTGAGACATCCTGCACTGGGCACAAATTGAGACAGGATGTCGGACTAAATAGACCTCAAATTACAAGTAAAGTAGACCAATATTTTTTTTTCAAATCCCATTGAAATTTTGAATTTCAAACTTAAAAAAAAAAGAGAGAGAAAATTTACTTTTGTATTTTTTCCCACTTTTCCTCCCAAACAGGTCTTGTTACAACTGTTATGCTTTTATATACTCTTGTTGAGTTCAAATTCATTTTAGCACATCAATATTTTTTAAAAAAGTTTGCTTGTTGTACTTGGGAGTAGGAGGTGATGAGAAAGTGCCTAATAAAAGTTTGTGAGAAGTGCTGTAGCAAATAGCTTAAAGGAGTTTTAAATGTTTCTCTCAAAGTGTCAAGGTGGATGAGGTAATATCTTTTTTGGGGCCAAATTCTGCTGGTGAGAGAGACAAGCTTTCGAACTTACACAGAGCTCTTCTTCAGTTCTCTTTCAAAATCTGTGAGCTTCCTGCCCATTTGCCCAGTAGGCCATGTAAACCTGAAAGCACTCTTCAATAATTTCATGAGGGGCTGGCAAAAAAATTCAAGAAATCTAAAGTAATGTTAAGTGTGAGCTGATCATTAGGGTCCAATCTGTGTCTGGCCCTTGTTCAGGTGTGTTATAGGGAAGGAGGGTCCTAAGGAGCCTTCCAATTGCCTTATGTGGCTCGTGTAAAGGCCATATACAACTGAGGACCTTGCTCGGTGGGACAGTCTAGAAGTGCTTCCGTTTCTACTCACCAGAGAGCATACAGCAGCCCAAAGGTGCAGGGAAGGGTGGGGAGGAGGTGGGATTATGGTTTTTCCACCCCTCCACAACTACCAGCAGAACAGGACTGGTATAGAGTAGCATAGCAGCAGCCAGTCTTCCCCTGTGCAATAGGGAGCTTGGGACAGGAGTACTAGAACGGGGTGGGAAGTGGTGGTGCAGAAGCAGGGCATCAGGGGAAGAGGTGGTGCAGGGGCTGGGTCTTGGCAGAAGGGGCAGTGTGATGGCGGGGGCTTGGGGAAGAGGGGTGGTGCAAGGATGGTGCGGGGGGCAGCGTGGCATAGGGGGCAGGGCCACCGTTCGGGTGTCTGTGCCCCCCCACTTTTAGGGCGCTTCCGCCACTCCTATCTTGGGAAGGAATTCCATCCTTATGAGCTCCTCGAGGGCCTATGCAGCTCCACACTGCTCCTAATGCTGGGTTGTACCTTAAAGGTCATTAATCATGATCATGATCCTTTTATAGTCTGAGCATGAGAAAGATGAAGAGCAGAAGAAACTTACTTTAAAAACACTAGCCATTGAAAAACTTTGGGAGGTTGGATTAAGTGTTAAAATGCTGAAAAAGCAAATTCCACAATGATAAACAATTAGAAACTGAATATCTTGATTTACTCAACTTACAAGTACCCCAGTAATGGCACTTCTACATTACAATTTTTTTCCACCTCCATTGATTTTAATAGACTTGTGTACCCATCAGATATTAAATTAGTAAAAAACCTTGCTGTGCTTGAAGGGAGATACTTCTAAGATCCTTCAGCATTTGGGGCAATAATAATTAATTTAACTATCATTAAAAAAACAACAACACAGGAACATTGTCTTAAACTCCTTGCTGTCTCAGTTTTCCACATTCAGTTAACATCATACCAGCAGGTCTATTTTTCTTTTGGTAACACATGCAAAATAAATATGACATAGGAGATCCCTCGCATCACAAATTGACCATTGGACCCTTGGACACAGAGGAATGTAAGCCTAGTTAGCTTCATTCACTGACCCCTAAGGATGCACAGTGACCCAAACTACTGCATAGGTTAAAATGTACTGCCACGGTTCTTTTTATTGAGAAAGCCTATGCCTCATCTGCTTCACTGCATAGAGAATATTCCATACCATTCCATTTAGATGAACAAGGTCCCTGTGGAAAGGTTAAAAAAAAAAAAAAAGAAACAGACAATGGAAGCAACAGCTTCTACACCACTCAATAACAGTGCAGGTCTTGTGATATGGGCTGCATGCATATCTGTGCAGGCAGCCAGTTACCTCCTATCTCCATTAGTTTGTTATTGAGGAATAGATTAGGGGAGGGCACAATAAAACTGCATACCTGCACTGCAGCCTGATTTTTCAATAAGATTCAATGTACTACTAATAGGGGCCCACCAAAGGGCCATTTGCGTGGATAATTCCAATGTATCCCTTCTGTAAAGGAATGGATTGTTGGTGTTTATTATAGCAGTAACAATCCCCATTGGTTATCTCAGTTTGGGATCCCAATCCTAGTGCAGAGCTTGAAGTGCAATGTCACAACTGCCTGCATAAGCTCTCCAGTGAACTATCATCACAAACAGGTACCACCATAGACTTACTGTTTTCTGGTATGTTTAAATATATTGCAATAAAAATGTCATTGCTTCATTTATTTTAGGTATTGTTATGGATATGGTATCACAGACTTTATTGAGCAATTAAAAAATATACACAAAGGACAATTGTTTCTTTTTTTTTCTGTATTTTTCAAAATTTGATTTTCTTCCAGTTGAAGAACCCAGTTTCAAATATGAAAAGGGCACTTGTTTCTACAGTAACTGTGTACACCTTGCTCAGTTCCAAGTACTGTATTCATTTCTTGTTACCGCTGCTGTGGTTCTCTCTCTCTCCTGTTTGGGAACTAAAACACTTCTTCTTCCAGGAATTGTAACTAAGTTGTTCTTTCTGATTCTATTTCTCCATAGAGTTCAGCTAACTTCTTAAACTCTGGTCCCCAGTCACCAAGGTAATTATAATCCTGGTCAGAGTGTGTAGTGACTGAATCTAGAGAGCTGATAGATCCGGCTTCTGATCTATGACCCTCATACGCATATGTTTGTATGGAGTCATAGGGAGGCACACTGGGATCGAGATCTGCCTCTGCCAATCTTTGTTTAATAAATTCATGAACATCTATACTGTTCAGGCTTGAAGAAGGCTGGTGCCTAGGTGCGTGCTTCACGTCAGGACGCACATCCCTCCGATACTTCAGCTCCTCAGCAGCTGATGGGTTCCGCAGGGCTGTGATGTCAAACGCTTCAGTGTCCTCCTCTCCACCACCCTCGTCATCATACGTGACAACGTTTTCCCGAACATCCTCCTCGGAAATGATCAGGGGCTCCTTTTTGCTGCGTCTTAATGTAATGAAAAGGACCACAATTGCTAAAGAGAAAATTGCAAATATTAGGTTAGGTTTACAGACATTATATATGAAATAAGTAGCATATATCTTACATGGGTCACAAATACAATATCCCCCCAAAAAAACAGATCAGACACGTGTGGACTGCTATTTGGATTCTTGCATTATTATGTTGGGCTTCAATGGAGTTATGATTAACTCAACTGTATGTTTGTATACACCATGGCCTACATTTTCAAACCTGGATGCCTAAACTTTGGCATCAAGAACAGATTCGCAGCTGAAATGGAGATGGTGTCTAATTGAATTGTGCCAATTTACACCTGCTGAGAATCCAGCCACTAAAATCCACCATAGGCAATTAAATAAGGGCATCCTGATTTTCAGAGGTGCACAACACCTGCAGCTTGCACTGACTTCACTGGAAATTGTGGCTACTCAGGACTGGTAAACATAAGGCCACTTTTGTTAATACCCAGCTTTAGTTACAACCCTACGCCCCTCAACAGCTCCACTATTCAACACATACGTTTCAAATTTCCACTTCCCATTATAGACCCTTGTAACATTCAGATTGCCTGAACCTGCATTGTCACATTCATAGAATATCAGGGTTGGAAGGGACCTCAGAAGGTCATCTAGTCCAACCCCCTGCTCAGAGCAGGACCAATCACCAGACAGATTTTTGCCCCAGATCCCTAAATGGCCCCCTCAAGGATTGAACTCACAACTCTAGGTTTAACAGGCCAATGCTCAAACCACTGAGCTAATTGTGTGTTTCTGGGTGTCATAAAACTGGGCACACATAATGTAAAACATTGGAAGAATATGTAATACACATAAACTAGAGTTTTTATGAGTACAGCTAAGGTTTACCTCCCATGCACAGCCCATTGATGGAAGAACAGGCTCCATTGTCAATAAGGCCCCGATTCTGCAAGTTGCCACATGCAGACAGTCTGCTGTAAACATGTTGAGTCCCACTTAAATCAATGATGCTCCATGTTGGCACAGCAGCCTGCCAGAATATAACAAGCAGTGCCTATTACGACTAAGAGGGAAATTTCCAATGGCACAAAGGGCAGTTGGGTGTCCAACTCCTATTAATGATCAATGAGATTTAGGTGCTTTGAAAATCTTCACCTAATATACAAAAGATGAGATTTTTCAACACTGCATAAGGGATCTGGATGCCCAGTTCCTACTAAAATCAATAAGCAATTAGCTATCAAATTAAAATCTTCAAGGTTTTTACCTTTTGGAAAAAACAACAACAAAACACTCTTTCATTTGCATGTCCATGTATTTGCACATATTGTGACTGTAATGTTGATAACATAACTCAAGTGCATTTCTGTACATTTTAAAATTATACTCTAAAACCCAGGAAATGGCTGATATAAGCTGTGGCGAAAGGAATCAGTAGAAAGAGCACAGGCTTTCAAGATAAATTCATTGATTTAAGAAATGTATGTGGGTCACCAGACAAATCCCATTGTTTCAAACATTCTCTGTTAGAATGCATAAAAACACATGGATAGGACAATGATGTTTATGTACAGCATGTTGTATCTCTGCCAAATGAGAATATTAAGCAATGGGTAAATTAAAACTGGTCTGGGCAAATAGAGAAAATTCATATCCAAGGACATTTATCTAATGTAATCATTTTATCGTTTAATATGTCCCCTGCCCTCTTGATTATGTTGTGCATTGATATCAGCTCATCCCACAGAGGTAATTAGAAAGTCGCTTTTGTACAGTATTAATAGTGCTTCTTACAGAGTAATGCAATTCAAAAATCTTTTCCTCATCTCTCTTCTTTATCATTTTTCCAGCTGGTCTAGAGATGATCCTTGAGTCAATGGCTTTCTGAAATCTTTCCAAATTACCTGGGAAGCTCTGCAATGCTAATTACTCTGACCTCTGGAAATCTTTTTCTACAGGATGACAGTTTTTCATCAGTATGCTTTAAAGGCATTTTTACTATTCATTTTAGCAAAATCTATATATAAAACCACAACTTTATATTTCTAATTACCTCTTTTCACAAGTAATCCCTGGTTCAGAAACACATTATATTAAAAGCCGCTACTGCCACATTCTGAAGGCTAATGAAAGGATATCAGTATTTAACTAAGAGAGTGGCTTACCCAGAAGAATGATGACACAGAGCAGAATTGCAATTAAGGCTCCTGTGCTCAAACCGGCTGAGGAAAGGAAAGCTTCGGCATGGCAGGTCCGAACGCGCCCATCTCTCTCACATGCACAGACCCTGATCGTAAGGGTGCTGCTGCTGCTGAGAGAAGGGATTCCACTATCAGAAATCAAAATCGGGAGGTAGTAGACATCTTGAGTAGTTCGACTGAATCTCCTCCGTCTGGTCAGGATACTGGCTGTGTTATCTATAACCACAAAAAGCAGGACACCATGGCTTAATGAAGAATAATTATGATTATTTAATGTTTCTGTCATGCCCAAGGGTGTGAGATACACCTTCCTTCCTTAGAGGTTTTTAAGGTCAGGCTTGACAAAGCCCTGTCTGGGATGATTTAGTTGCGGATTAGGTCCTGCTCTGAGTAGGGGGTTGGACTAGATGACCTCCTGAGGTCCCTTCCAACCCTGATATTCTACTCTATGATTCTATACCTCAACAAACAGACAGTCCCTGCCTCAAAGGGCTTACATTCTACAATTTAAACACGGCAGGACAAAGGTGTGTGGCAGAGGAAAACAATAGGAGGGAGTGGGGTGGGATTAGGCAGGGTTACATAAATAGCATGTGGCAGCTTTGCTAGTTCACATATGCTTCTTGGTGACTAAATTTACTTTGATAAAGTTTTTGGGCCTCATTCTCACTTAAGGACACTTTGTACCATCTGGGTAGTGTAGGGACCTGAAAGGGGGTGTAAGTGTAACTTACGTCCACTTAAAGTCCCATTTTCCACTACCACAGTTGCGTAAAAGGTCTTTAAGTAAATGAGAATAAGGCCCTTCAATTTAACTGACTGTGTTTCTTATAGGCTGCACAGCAGAAGTGAGTTATCAGGAGAGATCTAAGCAAGGAGAAGATGGTGGCCAAAAAGCACCAGCTGTGGGAAGTTCAAGGTGGAGGTGAGAGTTGACGGTGTGCGCTAGGGTAACAGGCATGGGAAGTTAGAAGGAAACACTAAGCTAAACTTGAGGGAATGGGCAAATGGATTCGAGTCATAGCAGAACAGAAAAGGGGGAAGAGGAAGTTCATGTTGAATTTCCTTATTTAGAAGTTACTCAGGTCCAGCTGGCATGCACTGCAGTTAATAACAATAGTGATTATTTTAATTTTACATTTATGTGATAGTAGCACCCAGAGGCCCTCATTAGGATCAGGACCCCATTGTGCTAGGTGTTGTGCAAACACATAAGAAGACACTGTTCCTATTCCAAACAGCATGCAATCTAAAAAGTCAAGTGGAAGAGGGAGTTGATACATTTTTATATACATATATACATCTACAGAAGTATTTTTTAGTAATTATAAACAAGAGTCACTTATCCCCATCAACATGTTACCAAATCCATCCTTAACTGGTTGATTTCTTAAAGACATTGTGAGCAGAGATGAATCCTGAGGAGCAATATGAAAGAGGAGGATAGTGGCCATAAAGATCAGTTCAGGGAATGTTGTGATGTTTTCAAGAGAAACTTGTAAGTGAGCTGATGAGTCTGGTATCACTGGCAGAGCCAAGGAGATGGGTCATCGTGTATGTGTGATGCAATTAGGTGGATACATATGACCATGCAGATGTATCTCTGTCGGAGTGGAGTGATTAAGCGCAGGGAGGAGAAAACAGTGGGATGATTTTGTAATATTACTGGGAGTCACCACATGATACTTTTATATAGATATCCTCACAAGCTTTGTTTAACCAACTCTACAGGCAGGAAGATCTTGCACACACGTGTGTTGGGGCAGTTCTTTTTGGAAGTGGCTTTCACATCACTATTAAAGTCTGTTCACTGCCTGACTCTTTCTGATTGGAATATTTTTGTTTAGGTGTTGAGCTGCTGTACACAGGACATACTGAAGCAAACATAATCATTATATGGGTTCAGAAGCCCAATGAGTGCTGAAGAATGCTAAGAAAGACCAACCGACCAAGATTATGGCGTGTGCTGAAGTCCATCCAACTAGGATGAACTGAGGAAAGTATGAATTTTCCTGAGGAGTGGAGGAAATTGAAGCAGGAAAGCACATAGACATTGTCAAGAGTCCTGTTAAAAGGCCTGAACAGTTGGGTTGGCTTAGTGATGCTTCAAGACTCTGCTAACAATGCTTTGGGAAAGGGGCACACCAAGAGAACTAGGTAGATGTCACTGAAAAATGGATACAGGTGCAGGAATATAGATAGAATGGCATGTTCCAGCCCCCAGGGCTGGTTGTTTTCCATGGTGGGGAGGGGTCACGAGTATGGCTAGGTTGGGTAGGTACTACTTACTTGGTTTTGATTCAATATGCCAGCCCTTTCTCTATCAAGCTCTTTGTGCCATCATTTTAAACATTGATCTCATCTGTCTCTCTATCCTAACATTTCACCCATGCCTGCAGCAAGATCAATCTACTTATGTGACCCCCATCACCATGGCACTGGAATGCTTGGCAATTGTTAATGGATTTCGTTCTCAACACCCTGTGAGGTTAGATATCATGCCATTTTTACATGTGGGGAACTGAGGCAAAGGGCAGATTAATTGATGTACCCAAGGTCACACAGCAAGTCTGTGGCTGAGCCAGGAACTGAATGTGTTTCCCAAGTCCCAGTCAAGTGGCTTATTCACTGTGCTTATTGGTGCTTTCTTGGATGACTTAGCTAAATACATTTATCTTGTCTCCCTCATTTTCACTGGTTGCAATATATAAAACTGCCTCTTAAGTCTCCTTCTGCACTTGAAGATCAAGGTGCACTTTTGTGGGTTATGCTCTGGGTTGGCTGCCCAGCAGACTTCCTCTCACTCTTCTGGTGGTATGCTGCCTGCCTGCTTTTTTGCGCACAAATCCATGATCAGGACCCATGTATAAAAACACAAATGGATCATTCTTTTAAATCATTAACACCCATTGATAGCATGTTCCTACAAAACAGCCTGAGAGTGTGGAAATAATATTTATAATGATACAATCTCTCCCCTCCGTTATTGAGGTTCTAGGGTGTTGTAGCACATTTAAAATAAAATAAATGAAAACCCCTCAGCAATAATTAAAAGGGCGTCAAATAGTCTTGCAAGAAAACCCCAACAGAAATACTACACAAGAAATACAGCGAATCTGTACAGCTGCTTTTGATTTTGTGCCACAGATCTTATTCCAAAATACACCTAAAAGTGTATGCAATACAAAAATATTTGTTTTAAGACATCTCCAAATAAGCTGATAAAATTTTAGTTTTTCCATGCATTGTCTGGGACGTAGCCTTACTGAGACTCTGCAGCTATGACATTTTATAATGAAAATCAAGATCCCTCGACTAATATTCACTGTTTCACCATTGAAGTACATGCTATTTCCACCTTATTTTGCAGCTCCCCTCATTTTGAGTTACAATTGTGTCACTTGATTGAAAAGATCAAATTAGATGTCACTGGGATTCAGATTACATTTATTATATTCAGAGACCTCTTCCCCAGAGCAGGGTGAGAGTACTGACCTGTGGATTCTATTCACAGACTATGCCATGGAAAGAGGTTCATCAAGTTCACAGGTTTTACAGGCCTCTGCCAATTTAATTTTAAAAGAATTGGAAGATTCATAAGGCTTATTTGACAAGAGGTTGGAAGAGCTTGTTCTTTGATACATGTATGACATTTTACATTTAATACAATGTTTTTTCACAAACAATCTCAGTTCTTTTATTCTAGCATACGGATGGGGCGATGGGTTATCCTGATGCTGCATTGGCTACAAAAGACCATAATATTTGACCTCACCACTCATTAAACAGTGGGGGCTGTTGTCTGGCTTGCTGGAAAAGAAGTGTGCCCCCTTTAAGGACTAGAAAGCAAAGGAGTGACTTTTGACAGCAGCAGCAGACCAGGGCAGCATGGAGTTTCTGACCCGTCATCCAGAGGTGACTATAAGATCCATGCTGGTGCAGAAAAAGCCTTCTTTTACCTAGACCAGCGGAACAGCACCCATCCTGCCACCCATGAAAGTGGTAAAATACCAGGTTTTGTCAGGTTCTGCTGTGGGCATTGCACTAGTTGCTCCTTTCTCGGGGGGGGGGGGTTCCCTCGCCACCAGATTGGCGAAGGCAAAGTGGTTTTTTTGTTTTGTTTTGTTTTTTCTTTCCTCAAAGCAGGTTCAGCAGGGCTTAGTTGGGTGAACATGAGACAGGAATTAGGCTATGATGTATGTAATTGTGTAAATGTGGTGTGGCTGTCCAGTGCAGGTATGCCATAGGGAAGGGACACAATGATCAGACAAAATGGATTGGTAAAGGATGTAAAGAAGGTATGCTTTAAAGGAGCAGAAACAGAGATATGGACTGAGTTCCCATTGACTTCAGTTCCCAAAATTGCCATTGACTTCAGTGGGGACAGGACTTCACACATTGTCATTGTTGATCTAATAACTCAGCCCATATCTGGGATAATTCGAGTTAACTTGTTCTGACCTTGACACCAAGAACAAGATTCTTAGTAATTTTCATACCCAAAAGTACAATGTTATACAACGTTTTATTTAATATGGCAAAATTCCCATTGACTTCAATGAGGCCAGGATTTCACCCCATGTGTTTTGTAGTGCAAATCTGCAAACCACTCCAGAGCTAGATTTGCAATATGTGAAGGAGGATCATCGTACAGAAGAGCCAACAAATTTGACATTTTAAGAACTTGTATCTTCCAGAATGCAATATCAGGCCTTAAAAATCCAACTAAATTGCATTCTATAAACCAGAATTTTCTTCTGATGAAACAGAATAACCAAAATGTAGGCAATTATTTTAATTTGCAACATGACTTTTAAAAAAGTGCCAAATCCTGACTGGCTCTGGGCTCCCGGAATTGCAATGAAGTCAATGGGAGTTGCAGGTATTCAGCACATCTCAGGATGTAGTGTTATATATACAAAGACAAAGCAATTTTAGAATAGAATGGTCAATCCTAGGGAGGGTTTGATTTCAAGTTGTAAAAAAATGGGTTCAGAAAACAACACCACAAACTTATCTAGACAATATAATAAAGTAAAAATATCAAGAATACATTTAAGGACTAAAGCGTATAGTGCAATTCCATTTTGGTGACAAGTAACACCATATCCATCAACTGAGCATCAACAGTTGCATCAGTCATGACGCTCATCCCAATACAAGTTATCCTCAGATCTTCTACAGCTAATCAAAAATGTAGTAGCAAGTGATATTAG